GTTCAGCACCGGTCCCGGAGGCTGGTACAGCCAGCGGGGTTCACAGGGCAGCGATGCACTGGCCACCTCTGGGACGAGCAAGCTTGCCATGCCGAGACGATGTGTACTGGACCCCCCAGCTGCGGGAAGGACTTTCAGTGTGAGGAAACAGGTGAGTGAACTGCCTGCCAAGGAGGTTTCAGTCCTGGCTGGACAGACCTGGGATGATTTCAGTCCCCTGCCATGGGCAGAGCTTTGCCAAAGTGCATGCAGCCCAGCCAGCAGGATGGTGAACCAGTGCAAGAGAAAACAGGAAATTTCCCCATCTCTGTTTTTTTCCCCACTTTTGCTGAAATCCGTTCATGTTGTGCTTGGATTTCGATAGAAAAGAAGGCTGTGTGACATGGAAAAGGTTAATTTTTTGGTGGAGCAAAGAGAGTAGAAATATTCTGCTCCAACTGCTGTGCTGCATGCTCACATTCCCTTCCATAGGCACCACCACTCCCACAACACACCACTTTCTCCCCCTGTAAAAGGCATAGTTCAATCATGAATCCAACTAGCAATCTGTTGGGGTGATTTATTTATCTTTAGCCTTCCCCAGCTCTGAGGATTGGGATATAATATGGCTGTTCTCTGAAAGTTTGACTAGCCTTGACTGATTTTTGTTTTTACACAAATAACTCAAACTCGCATCTTGAGCATTTAATGAAAATGCTGTTGAAATTTAGAAACGTGCACCAGCTCTGTGACCAAGTCATTATCTGGAGCAGGTCATCATCGCTCTGTTGAGGCAAGTAGGATGATTCCTGCCACAAATATCATGTCAAGGCTTTCTCCTCACTCCCAGAAGTAAAAGCACTTTCAAGTTGCCGTTCCTGCAAGCATACTTGAGCTATAATTATTGCAATAAACTCCCCAAATACCTCCTACAATGGGAAGAGGAGTAACCGCACTTTGACCAGACAGAGCTGACTTCCTTAAGCCAAGAGGAGAAGCTATTGCTTCCTGTAACTCCCTTCCAAAAGCATGATTGTAGATAATAAGATCAGGCCAGTGAGGTGACCTTTACTTGATTCCCATCCCATGGGAGCCCAAGGGAGCAGCTGGCTTGGACTCCAAAGGAAAACCTCCTCCCAGGGAGCTGGGAAAAGCAAGTTCCCAATGGAAACGCTCACCACCCAGCATGACTTCTTGTGTCCCTGAGATATGGGTGGAAAGCAACACAATCAGTGCAAGCTGCCAAAAAGGTTTTCTGAAGGGCAGATAAGTGATTGCCTGTACCTGTGCACTTTAGGTCGCTGTATTAAACGGCATCTTGTGTGCAACGGAGAGCAAGACTGCAGAGATGGGTCTGATGAGGATAACTGTGAGGATGAAGATATTGAAAGCCCTTGTGAACATCTGTTTCCAGTCCCAGGGTCTGAAAAAGCAACCCAAGGGTGAGTAATTAATCAATAGCTGCTACTCTCACAACCAAAGCAGGATTAAGTTTTTTATATTGCTCTTCCTTAGTAATAGCAATGCTCCATTAATTGATAGTGTGCTGTACAAAACCCAAAAGAGAGCTACTGTCCCAACAAAACCCTAAAGAGAGCTACTGTCCCACCCAACCATGGGTAGCAATAAAGGAGGCAGAAGGGTTCATCCCAGCTTTTATTTCAAATTCTGTCTCAAATTTACTACCTGACCTTGGTCTGTCTCAGCTGCTCTATACTTATGAGTGTCCTTTGTGTACTCATGTAAAAATATATCCCAGTTCTCTGAGTCCAGTTATCTTACAACTTTCTCCAGCTGATAAAAGCAATATATTAAAGGAAACAGTAGACTTTGGAGATGCAGCATCCTGGTGGGTTTCATCCTTAAGGAGAAGATTTAACTCCAGGATTTATACTTCAGAGCACAGATTCAAGGCAGAGAGCCTGAGCTCCACATGAATATGTGCAGGGTAAATACAACCTAGCCATTAAAAAGTTTTACTGTACTTAGTTTCAAATTTTGGTTAGGTAACACACGGAAAAGAGGAATCCAAAATGAGTTTAAAGGCAAATTGTCTGTTGTGACATTTTTGTTTTAAATCTTGTGCTTTAACCAAGATACTGCTTAGTTTCTCCTAGAGAACATGAGCTACAGTATGAGAATGTAGTCACCCATCAGATAACTTTCCCATCAGCTCGATCCAATGCTCTCTGGAGTCCATGAGAGAAATGCCTCTCTAGCCCAGGGCCTGGGAGAGTCCATCAAAAGCCATATATTAATTTTCATCAAGCACCCCATTTAATACTGCTTTCTGATGTGTCTCTCCTGCAGAATACACAAAAGCAATAGCATTTACTACCTTAGTCTTAAAGATGATTCCCTGTTGTGAGGAGCAATGCTGCTGTCTAGTTTGGATAATGCTTTCATTTCGGGCCATGGAATTACAAGGAATGTTAAGTAATGGGTGGGATTTCAGAGGGCAGCAGCTGTGATGGCTGGAGAGCAGGAAGAAAGAGGCATAGGAAATAACAAGTGAGAGACTTGGCAAAGCAGACTGCAAGTATAGGGAGGGTGCTAACTCCCCTGAGAAATGGGACCATTATTACAAGGAAGAAGATTAAATAAAGATAGAAAACAATTGCAGGGAATGCCAGAAAACACTTTGTGACAGTGAGATGCATTAGGCTGAAGAGACTCATGGGGGACCTGGAGGAATTCCATACCTACTTACCAGGATGGACTGGACAATTTAACTGATTTCTTCCATCTCTAGCATATGAGTCCAAACCAATGTCTTGGAAATAAAATGGCTGTTTGTCTCCTCTTAGCTCTGGGAAGGAGATAGCAAGGAGAATAGACCCAAACCTTACATTTTAGGTGCTATCCAAATTCAAAGTTAGAGACAGATAGAAAATGTCTAGTGTCAGTAGAACAGAGACAGTGACAGACTGATGGGGAAATAAAACAAGAGCTATGGATAACTTTCTGAATGCTATTTCTTTCCAAGATACAATATCCTAACACGGAAGGAGACCCAGTACGTATATGATCGTAAATTTTTTGGAGGCCACTGTGACTATGTCTACAATGGAGAGTGGCGGGAGCTGAAGTACGACACTGCATGTGAACGTCTGTACTACAGAGATGATGAGAAGTATTTCCGCAAACCTTACAACTTTCACGTATACCAATTCCTAGTAAGTACTTTGGGTGGTCAAATTTAGCAATGTTTTCCCAGCTAAAAGCCAAACTTCCTATAAAGATATTATGTACATTTTATGATTCACTGTAGGTTGTCTTTCAAGGTACCTTTTTCCAGCTGTCCCCAAGACAACAGGCAATTGATGATATAAATGCTGTTTTATGGCACATCAAGGAACCAACATGCTTTATCACCCAGGCATCCCCACTGCTTACTCTGGCCTAGTCAGAACCAAGAGAAATGTGTTTTCCTCTAAATTCTGCTATTAATGAGCTGCAGAACTTGTGCAAGCCACTTGCCTCTCTAGGGATGAACTTAGCCATATGTAAAAAGGGAAGAATGCTACCGGTTCAGTCTTTGGAAGCATTTTAAGTCTATGGCATGGTTACAAGGGACATAAATCCAAATTCTGAGGCAAAGATCCTGAAAGCCATCACCATGTATCATAATGCTTATACTCTGGGGGGGTCACATCTGACTTTGGAGACTGAACTAGAGCAGGGATTCAACCTGGGTCTCCCACCTTGTAAGTGGGTGCCTTGGCCACACTGTTAAACATTTATCATGCTTTTTGACATGAATGAATGAAAACACATTATTCCAGGGGAATATTACAGCCACAGGCTCAATGCAAATGGCTTTCATGTCCTCCCAGCAAGCAGACTCCCCTGTGCCCTTTAGTCCCCAGTTTGAACCCAGAGCCACCACACGGGACACATTTTCTTCTCCCATTTATCTGCTGCTAGCAGTAGAAGGACATCTGCACCATGGTCAGGCACTGAGGGATGCTTGAGCATGCCCCATATGCATCTTGACTTAGGAGCTTCTACCCATCAGGGTCTAGGAAGTCACTGACAACCATGTGAGATGTTTTTTTTTCAGTGTTGGTAATTTAGCCAGCTTTTTCTAGAGACGGCAAATGGCGCAGCCCAGATTCAGCAAGGCTGCTCAATTCCACATGCCAGCAAAGTAGAGCTGTCAAGGAAAAGGTCACTTCTCCAAAACATCAGCAAAACAATGTTTGTTTTCTAGCGTTGCCATCGCAAGTGGCTGGCTCACCACTGTTGAATTTTTTCCTAAATAAATTCATCCAAGAAGTAGGCTGGAGAGAAAAAAATCACTCCAAATTGTTAGGATTTGGCAGAGCTGTAAGGAACCGGAAGGAAGGGCTTATAATGGGAAGAGTCAAGCTAGCTTAACAGGCACCATTACCAGCTTTGCCTGTAATGGTACTGCTTTGAGTGGCTAAACACAAGCCTTTCCCCTGACTGGAGATGGATGACGCAAAATAAATGGCTTTATCTGCATTTCTCACACATTTCCAAATGAAATGGCACGTGACTAAATTCTTTATTCCACATTCACTGAAGTCAGTGTCGGTGCTGTCAGGAGCATCATGGGCTTCAACAGAGGCACCATCAGCTCCTTAAAGAAATAGAGATTAAAAGGAAGGGAAGTACCTGAAAAATTAATGTCTGCTCCTTTCACTTTAGGCTCATGCTGATTCTGGATTAACTTTTGAGCTTTATGAGGATGCAAAGGATCTGCTTAATGCCCTTAAAAGTGATAAATCTGGATCAATAGGCTTCACCTTTGGAATTGGGCCTGCAAAATTACCTATCATGGTTAACTTGGGCCTCACTTTATCAGGTGGCATAGGATCCCTGAAGAATTTCACGCAATACGCTGCAAAGGTAAAAAAAAAATAGATCAATGATACATATGCTCCAATCATGTCATCTGTGCATCGCATGGTCTGGCTGTAACTTATGTCAGTTTATTCTCTCAATTGTATTTTTTAACACATACTAATTGTACCTTAATTTGTTCATGTAACTGCAAATGTATGATCGTTAGTAATCCTTTTTGTTGTTCTTATTACATTTTAGCAAACAGGAAGTGGGAATAAAATGGAATTATGAAGTACCACAACACATGTCATCTCATCCCATCCTGTTTCATGGCTACATTAAGCACATAAATAAAAAAATGCTTAAAATGATGATGAGGCAGGAGGAAATATCAAGATGTTGATCAAAACAGTTGTCCTCAGGGAATGATCTCTGGTAGCAAATGTATCTTGTTCAAATTAATACAAGCTGCCTTACAATGGGGAAATATGCTACTTTTTACAGGAGGTTAAAATACCGTGCTGAAAGAAAGAGTAGCCGATAATAGGGTGTATTTCTCACAGTGAGTTTACATCATGGACTAGCTGTGATGACCCCTTTCCGATCTAATAACACGAATGCTGGTATTTCCAACATTTACTGTGCCCCGTCACCACTTGTCTCGTGGCTGCTGACAGAAAACAATAAAAAAAAGAATTACTTTGATGGTGTTCTGAGTTGAAATGCCCTTAAAAGCTGTTGGAAATTGGCACCATTATAGTATTTACTGTGCCCTTGTCTAGACTCACACAATGTCTGCAGCTAAATGATGATCAGTTATTGGAGGAATCATTTAAAGGGCTGTTCTGGTTGCACTGGAGCCTTGTCCAGAGCAATGGCCAATCTAGAAGAGGAGTCGTGGATCTGGTGGTACATCCAGAAAATCCTCCCTGTCAGCACCTTACTGGCTAGGGTATTCCCCCACTGCTGGGCTGGGCTGGGCCTGCCATGAGCCCTTGTCCTGCATCACTGGTTAAGGCTGTGAAAAAAGCAAAAGGGAATAAAGAACATGGAAATGAAGGCAGAAAAAAGAAATTGCAGAAATGGAGGGTGGAGGGGAATCATGTGGAGCCCAATTCTGATCATATTCTCACATCAATAAAAAAACCCCATAGCACCCAAACCCATGGCTCTACCCTCCACCTGATATAACCACACGAGAAAGAGACACTCCCTGGAAAAGGATTACCACTGATTTCATTTAAACCAGGGCTGATTTTCATGCCTTTAACACCCACTGACAGTCACAGATTCAGGCTTTCCTCTGCAAACCTGAGGACTAGAAATGACTTTTTTTTAACTGATTGTTGAGTGGCATCTTCTCTTTTCTTCACCTGCAGAAGGTTGGATTCATTAGAGGTGTGACAAAGGTACAGACAGCTCGTTTCAAGATGAGGAGGGACAACATCGTTTTGGATGAAGATGTGCTGCTCTCCCTGCAGGAACTTCCAGACACCTACAACTATGGCATGTATGCCAAATTCATCAACGACTATGGCACCCATTTCATGACATCCGGCACTATGGGAGGTGTCTTTGAGTACATCGCCGTCATTAACAAGGAAGAAATGAGAAGAAAAGGTTAGAAAACTATAAGATATTCCCTGTTCACAACTTTCTGCTCTAAACCAAGCATTTCCAACCTGGAGACCATGGGGTGGGTCCAGTCCACTGGAGTCATTCATTTGGCTCTGGCTGCTCCCCACAATCATCATGTCCCAGTGTCACTTGCTAGACTTCTCCAAACTTCTCCTATTTCTTGTAGTCTTTGTTCTGGCCATTCTCATGAATGCTCAAGGACTGCAAACTCATCCAGAGTAAAGAAAGATAGCCCACTCATGTTTTAGTCTCCTAATAGTGAGAGTTCCAATTTGCTGTAAATAGAAATAACACATTGCACTTGGCAATACCTCTGCCACTTTACTCTGGTTAGTGTCATATCTGAAGACTAGCAGACCTCTGTTAGCTCCAGTTCTCATTAAAGTAGAGTGTATGAGGCTAGAGACCCATACCTCTAAATCTCAGTTACATAAAATATCCACTGCAAATGTCTAGATTGCAAGAATAGTCTTTACTGGCAAGCCAAAGCATAACATTTTTCTTAACCAAAAACAAAAGATGCAGAACAATAATATGGTACTTTAGTACACTAACTGGATTGTCAACTTTTGCAAAGGTGTCGACAATGCAATAGATCCCACTTCCCCTAGGCTCCATCACTCCGCTCTGAGGGTAACGCTGCCTTGGTAACTCCAGGCTGGACATTTAGGTAAAAGAAAATTGTGATCTTGGACAACAGGTGCAAATTCCTGCAGTTGGTGCAAATTGCTGTAATTCCATTAATTTCCATGGTTCTGCCCCAAATTCTGCCTCCAGTCTGAAATAGCTTGGTACCATCAGCACTAGGATAGCTATGCACTCCATATTGGGTGTTAACCATGCCAATTTTTCTACAAGAAATTACCAGTTGAGAGAATTTTCATCAAGTTCCTGAACTACTAATGTTTGGAAACATGATGCCTCTTCAAATCATTTATTCACTTTGAAGAGTGAGTGATATTGAAGTGAACAAGATCTTGGCAAGTAAGTCTTCAGAAAGCAGACTGCCAATTCCAGAGGAAGAATGAATCAAGAGCATATGGAGGGAGGCTATTATTTTGCTTTATCTTGTGCTTGCTGTGTATATAAGGAGGAGATTTACTGCTATGAGATGCCCTATTTTAGGAAAGAAGGATGTTGAAGTTCAGCAGAAGACAAAAATGTGCCCCAGTAGAGATGTAATTTTCTTTCTAATGTAGCACACTTCTGTAATTTTCATCTAACCCAGACTCTGCTAGAAAGTCCACATTTACCAAGTCAGCAGTGCTCTACGTCACACGATGTAGACCCAGAAGGACCCACCTGCAGTGGCTGATATGCCACTGTCTAAAAGCATTTAGTAAAAAAACCCTGATTTTTCTAATGGCAATCACAGCCATGTTTGAAGGCTGTGTTTGCAAGAGGATTATCTGCCTCCCCTGAGGAATGGTCAGGATCAGGATATAAGCACTCAAGCCTTAAAAATAGAGCTTCAAAAGATGAATCTGAAGCTCTGCAGATGCCTGAAGATGTACTGCTGAGTCCCCACAGGGCTCAGCAGCAAGACACCTGCTTTAGATCAACCACTGCATCCTGTGAGCTCACCTAGCCCATCAGGCTATCTGTTAAATGCTCTGGAAGAGAAAACACTCCTTTTTTATAGACCAGTGACTAAAGCACATGCCCAGGAAAAAGACACCTAGACTGAGTCCTCCTTATTTAGATGAGAGACAGCTTGGGCGGTTGCTAGGTATAGGCATGAGCTTGACTTTAAGCATCTAGGAAACCTGAACTTTGAAAATGAAGTCACCTTTTGGGTTTAGATACCTAAGGATAGACCACAACTCACCGGTGCAGAGCTTAGGACTGCAGTTTTGCTGCCAGACTGCATTTGCTGCATTTCTAGCTTTCAGGCTGCAAGGGCTTGTATGGATGTGGTCATGAGTGAAATAAATACATGTGTCAGAACAAGGTCCCTTGTTGCTCTGCTATCAATATTTTTCATTACTTGTTTTTAAAATAGATTGTTATGGTTCTATTATTTAGCAGAAAACAGCATAATGTGTTCACACATTACAAGAACATTTATGGGAGAAACATTATGCACAGAGTAAATTAGAAAGAGTCTTCATATATTCTGATTAATTCAAAATGCAGCAGTAAATCTTATCACTCGAGCACATTTAACTATCACAAATTATATCATATAAAAAAAACCTATCAGGACTCCCCCCTCAAGAGCCAATATTTTCTGTGACCACCCTTTTGCAATGATAACCACTTTTCATTTATCAAGACCCGATCTTGCTGCAACCAATAGTGAATTGTATTGACAGATCCTCGCTGAACATAATTACTCAACGGGAACCATCGTGAATCAATTAATCAGGGTGTTCCTCAAGTTTAATTTTATGGCACTCCAGCACCAAGATAAGCAATCACTCATGTTGCTTTGGGTGAATGAACTGTACCCACTGTGTTTACAACTGTTGAACAGTTTAGTACAAGTAATTGAGTGCTACACATTTAATCTTTCTCAAGGGCCCAGTTTTGCAATGGGATGTAACTCCCCTTGAAGTCTTGAGCATGCTTCAGCACTCACTAGTTTGAATCCAGGACTTGTAGCCCCTTTCTTGGGATGCTGAGCACCTGTGCCAGTTGGGACCCACCAAGCCAACAAGCAGATACATGCCCTGCATGGCTCCAGCGAGTCTCTCCTGCAGGGTGTGCAGAAGGGAACAAACCCAGAGTTATGGGAGTTTCACCAGTATTTGAAACACAAGCAAGACAAGACACTGCTCCCCAGTGCTGGGGTGAGGCAGTTCCAGAGGTAATGCTCTGGGTTGGGGCTCCAGGCAATGCTCTGGGTTGGGGCTCAGCTGGAGGTTCAATCTTCAGACCATTAAGCCACAATGCACAAATCCCTCTGACCTCTGTGCCTCCCTTTCAATACCAGGGTATTGATTGCTGGGCTGCTTTGTAAAACACTTTAAGGTCCTCTGACAAAAAGAGCAATATAAAAGTTACCTATTACTTACAATACCTGTATTTATTGAAATCAATGGATTTTTTCACTATTACAGAAGATGGCCTTATATTTGCAGTACACTGAAGTGTGTACATAAAACCAGGCTGTATGAAATATGCACATTGCTTACCTTGGTGAAACCACCTCATTAGTTCCCTTCGCCCCTCAGCAGCCACTTCATGGGTCTCCAGTTACATATTTTCATGATGTATGTGGCAGTGCTTGTAACAGCAGCCCAGCAGCAGGCAGGAAGGCTTTGACAGCTCTCAGCAGACAGACCTTTTGCAAGTTGCTACTTAAGGTGCTACTTAAGCCACTGATACTTGGGTCAGACCCTCAGTTGAGGAAAATTAGCAAGGATCTATTGATTTCAGCTGGTGATTCCAGCTTTACCCTAGTTATGAGTTAGTCTGTAAAAAAAAAAAAAAGTTTTATTTTTAAATAAATAGACCAAACAAGAAAATACATCCCTGAAGCCTTGTGTTAAAATTTTTACTTTCTTCTAATACTTTCTAAGGAAGCAATTTTACAGTAAGGACATTTCTCTTTTCATCTATTATGTGATAAGCCCAGTATACCCCAATAAAATATTGGCTTTTTCCACTGCAAGACTAAAGGTTGTCCTCTGCCCAGAATAGCTCTTGACTTTGAAAAACAAGCCATGCAAATAACTGAATATTTTCTTCATTGAAAGAAAAAAAACAAGTAGGAAAATGAACATCCTTCCACTCAGAATGAGTCACTGATTTAACTGGTTTCCTTTCTGTTTTGCAGATATCAGTGCCCAAGAGATAAATGTCTGTATTGGCTTGTCAGTTGGCCTTTCATTCACCAAGAGTAAACTGCTTTTCGAACCATCTGTGTCAGCCTCTGACTGTATACATAAAGGATTGCTGAAAACTGGTATGGTAGCAGGGCAGATGTCTGTTAAGGCACCTTGCGTCACTTCTTTTGGTCCCTTGGGCATGGGGATTCAAGTAGGGTCACACAAGGGTACAAAGAAGGGAGCGCTGGTACCATCCCCAGCCATGGCTCAGGTCCAGTTGTGGGACCAAAGCAACTTTGGGTCCAAGTCTCCAGGAGTACTGATTGCTCTTGAAAGAGCAGGAATTAAGGTAGCGCTATCTAGATTAGAAACACATGTAAATAGAGGCAGTGGGGTAGCTGGAAGGCTGCAGTCCCTATAGCCATGACAGACTGGGCATGGATGACAAGGGCAACATGGCAACTATTAAAGAAGTCAAAACTGACTATAAAAAGTACTCAAAGAGGCTAGGAAGCCCCAGATTTGTGAATCACTTAACCAGCTATAGACAATGTGACCTACTGCTCATGTGCTAACTAAAAACAAAGGCTGGAGGTGTGCAGACTCTTCAGGTCTTACCTGCTTAGAGCATTCGTGATGCTCAACTCATCACCCACTGCCTTGTGATAACGTGGCAGGGCTGGCCCTGCAAGCGGGGCATGCTGAGCTTCCATCAATTTCAGAAGGCAGCATCAGTGCTACTCACTGATAGCCCCTTGCACAACTGATCTCACCTCCATTAAGCAGTTTCTAGTGTATGTGTGGAAACAGTAACTAAATAATATGGGTGTAATTCAACTTTTCAGATCCTGAAAGCCACAGTGCAGTTGTGGAAGATATTATTCCCCGGATTAGAGGTGGAGATACCAGTTACAGCGGAGGGCTCTTAAACAGCTGGGATGCCAATATGTATCGTCGCTGGGGAAGGTCATTAAAATATAATCCTGCTGTTATTGATTTTGAGGTAAGGCTTTTCTGCAGTTGAAGAAACTCTGCTGCTATAAGGAATGAAAGTGTAGTCAAGCAGATCATTTCGTATTTTTATTGTGATCCCATCACAGAACAAGATTAAATGTAATGGGCCACTGATCTGGTAACCTCTTATTCATTTCACAATGGGGAGTACATCTCCCACTGACCGCATCCACAGGGAGACAGACAAGGAGCTTAATGCTGGATTAGTGCCGAGTTAAGTTTTTGATGTGTCCCCAAACAGCTTCCCAATGAATGGTTCTCTGTGGTTGCATTCATCCCTGTTATTGTCCCTGATGCTGTCCAACCTCCTGTATAAGAACGGGACTCACAGGGGGCTGGGGAAGGAGTCTTGCCCCCCCAGCAAAGGCTCTGCATAGACCCCCCCTGTTTTTCACCTGCCTCAGAGCTGCAGTGGCTATGTCTAACCTCTGCAGACTATGGTGGGTATTGCTATGGGTGCTTCCAGGATTTTTTAGAGCAGAGGGCTCCTGGCTGCTTTGTCAGCGGGGTCCTGTCTCCATGCTCCACAAAGAGGGTCTGTGGCCATAAAAATCAGCCAAGTTCTCCTCCTCCATTTTAATAGATGCCTCATACAATGGAAAGATCACTGAAACATCTTACAGGGTTCCAGAGACAGGGAGGAGATGGGTGCAAGCAGAGGGGGTAGAAAGGAAGAGAGAATCCAGGGTCAGAGATCACAGAGGCCTGAGGAGGTGGGCGCACTCCTCAGCTGCTGTCAGGAGTACCACATCTACCCTGAGATGCTATGATTGCTGGTCTGCTCCAGGAGCGCAGCTGTGGGCCATGGAGGAAGGACCTTGGTCATGGCAGGGACACACTGCCACTTCCATCCCTCTCATCTTCATTTGAAAGCACATCTGCTCCTGGCTATGACAGAGAGTGGGAGAAGGGAAGGTGGAATCAGACACTATCTGCATTATTAGCAGGGCAAGAAGGAATCTGCAAACCTTCCCAGGCAGCACCCTGGCAGCAGAAAGTCCTGATAAAGTAGAAGCGCTTTCAGTTCCAGCTGAATGGATGCTGCAGGTTATTCACCTTTCTGCCCAAGTTCCCATCAATTCTGGGAAAAATCTATTGCAATTTTGCAATAAACCATGCGCTGACCTCTCTGTTTGTTGGCTGTTCCAGAGCTCAGCAGTCACTGTGCAACCAGAGCTGCCGATAAGTGCTCATGTCCACTTCAGCAGCTCTTATCTGCAGCTCCCTCTCGTTTGTTAAACAGGCTTGTGCAAATTTGTCGAAGAGCTCTTCCCAAAGCCCAGATGATCCCCCCCACGAATCGCTCTCACTGTGCCTTGTGCAATGACATGATGCCCAGCTCTTCTCTGGGACTGGTTTCCACTGATTCCCAGCCAGGACATGCAGCATTTGCACAGAGGCATGGATGGACAAATATAAATATGTGTCCTCAGACCAGCCTTGGGCTTTTAGCTTTAATGTTCTGTTGAATTTTTGTTACTGGTGAAAACAGAATGGCTGAGATTTTTCAAGGAACCTTTTTCTACATACAGTTTAATACCTAAAACACTCCTATGAGCCACTCGGAGCATTTCAGGAGGTTGAATGTTACCACCAATGCATAAGCCTGCAGCCCTTCAGCTCATCCAACCATTTTTATAAAACAGGTTAAATGGAGAAGGTGAGTTATAATTAGTTGCCCACACTGGGCTATTTTTGCTGAGTGGTACATAGGAATTGGATTTTGCTACTGGAAATACTATGAGCATGTTATATTCTTAAAGCTGTAGATGGCACAATATTATTTTGCTGCATCAAAGGGCAAAATATAGGTAGGTAAAATTCTTCACGCTCAGCATTTACCAGATGGTTCACAATCTGGTTGCCAAAACATTTTGGTTCAAAAAGGCAAAAGTATGGAGGCATCTCTGAGATTGTGACAGCACTAAGAAATCACTCAACAAATGCCCTTACTGGGTGTTTTAATTTATCATTTGAATCCAGACTGAAACCCCAACACATGTCCAGAAAAGCCAATCCCACACAAATCTCTAAGATGAGGAGGGTTTTGGAAGGGTGGTTTCTCACCGGAGCCCATCAGTCGTGGTAACATATTTGCATGATGTACATGGAGCTGTCAAGGAAGACAAATTAGTTTTTTCTGAGCCCTGAGTCTATCCAGCAATGTCACAGCTCTCTGACTGTGGCATGGTAGCATCTCAGTTGACGTCCAGCTGAAATTGTCTCCATGCTATTCATCTCCACCTATGCAGCTGCAGCCCATCCATGAAATTCTCCGCAGAAGCAACCTTGGTGACATGGAAACCAAATGGCAAAACCTGAAACGGGCTTTGGACGATTACTTGTTGGAGTTCAATGCCTGCCGCTGTGAACCATGCCTCAACAACGGTGAACCCATTTTGGTAGGAGATGCATGTTCCTGCCAGTGTCAACCAGGTTATGAAGGCCCTGCCTGTGAGAAGACTAAGCTCCGAGGTAAGACCCTGGTGTGCACCCGTAGCAGGGGAGGGAGAAAGGCAGCAAAGGGACAGGGTTTTCCCCTTCATGTGGTTAACTAACAGCTGTTTGCATCCATGCATCAATCAAGCCTTCACTTCTGTTTTGCTTTTGTTGCTATGCTATCCTAAGCAGCCCTGCAAGAGACTTAAATTAACAGCTCAGGTGATTATTATAAATAAATTAGTGGAAATGAGGATATGTTTAATAGCTGGAGACTTACTTACTGACGTGTTGCAAAAAGCTGAGCTGGGGTGCAACAGCAGCACACAGGCAAAGCCCAGCTGCACGTATTGCCAGCTAAGGGACAGGCTCTTCCTGCTTGTGGTGCTCTATGGATGCAGCTCGTTACTGTAAATGAGACCATTATCTGGTCCTCACTGACTGGCATGTCACATCCTCAGGATGGTTGTTCTCTGCAGCGCTTGCGACATCCCCCTACAAGGAGGGGGATTGTACATCCTGCTGCAAGGGTGAGAGTACAAACCCCAACAGGCAGGGAGGGAAGGGAGGCTGAAAGGGTCAGGCTAAGCAACTGGGAAGTGGTGCTCAAGCAATGTGCCGCCAAAAATGCTGTTTTTGTAAGAAATTGCCATATTGCCAGATTTTGCCCCTACCCCATAGGGAAACATTTTAACTAGAGGGAAGTATCTATTTTGGGGGAGGAAAATATGTGGCTTTCTAAAGTGACAAGCTTTTATTTATGTTTTCTTTATTACTTCTATACTATCCTAAAAAATTAAATGGGTGGCAAAAAAAGCCAACCTTGGAACATGCTCTTTTATTTTTGTCCTGATTCGTGATGACAAAAATATCCAAATCTCAACACTTGAAGCTGGCAGAAAAATCCATCTTCAGAGCAGTTCCACCAGGCAGAGCTTCAGGCCTTCAACCATGTGCTCATGACTATGGTCTCACCATTGGAAAAGCAAAGCTGTGATGAGATAAGGAGTAAGAGCAGAGCTGGGTAGATGGTTTATGAAGCTGAGCTCAAAAGCGTTCCTTCAGTAACTCAAAAGTGGTCTGCTTAAAAATAATCTCAGGTTCTTTGAGTTGTCTCCAAAGCCAAAGAATCTACCTTTAGATGAGGAGCATGGAAAGCTCACGACCTGCCCCCAAAGCAGCCCACCAAACTGGCCAGTCCCTGTGCTCCCTGCTTTTAGCAATAGCGGGTACACACACACTTCCAGCTCATGGGAAATTAAGCAAATTTTTAGTTTCAAAACTCATTTAAGACCAAACCCAGTTTTTTTAAAGAACAATATTCCAGCAGATGGGAAACCCAGCTTTCCAGCCAGCACTAAGTAAGAGCACACACATCCGTTTGTGCTGTCTGGATTAATGAAGTGCCCAAGCCAGGCATGAAGGCCAGTTGAGTAAATAAAAAATTACAGTAAATGACAGCCATCAAGCATTCCCATCATTCAGGAGCGCCACCATAATCCATAGTATTGAACGCTCCTGACAACTCAGCCTGTTCTGCAGTGAAAAAGCCTTGAAATGACCCATCTCCAAAGGGATGGGCAGACTTTTCAAAACACCTCCACGATGTTAGGAAACTTTTGTCCCTCTGCCTTGGTCGGAGGTGAGAAGGGAAAGGAAAGCCAAACCGCAGCCTTTCAAACGAGCAGAGGAGAAAAAGAAACAGCTATTGGTGTCTGAAGAAGGTGATGCTACTTCATCTTCCCTGGCTTCACAGTGCCTTGATCTCAACAGCTGTCTGTGTGCTGGGCACAGCTGGGATGGACCAGGGAGTCCCACTCGCAGCAAACATTACGGCCGGAGCCGAAATCACAAAATGGTGGTGGCATTCAGCTCAATCTTCCTCCCCTGCTCCCACCCCAAGTATGCCTCTGCAGTCAGGCCATATGCAGCACTTCAGACCTGAATACCTTCCTCCCCC